CTATCTTCCCTGTGGGTAGGCACGGGGTGGGGGTGGGGTGGGGGAGGTGGGTTTGGGGTATGGGGTAATGTTGGGAGTGTGGAGGGATGGGGTGGTGCAGGGTGTTCACAACCATCAGAGTATTAAACTCCACCGATTTAAATCACTAATATGAGGTCAACTCCCAGTTATCCCTGTGTCACCAATGGAGAAACTGAGGTCCCAAGGTGCCTTCTCTTTTTGTAACCACACATAGTAACTGACCCAGCTACTGCTCAGGCTGCCTGAGCTGAGGCTTGCATGCTGAAGACCCTGGGATGCCTTCAGTGACCAGTGGCAAGTCTGGGGAGCTCAGAGGCTGCTCTAGCAAACATTTTAGAAGCAAGAATTAAAAGGCAGGTCCTGCGGGGGAGGTGTCACACAGTTCCACCCTAGACACTATTGGCCACTGATAGCTGTTAGGAGAGAGACTTTTAAAATCTGTAACCCTTGGTAAGTCAACCAGGCTCCAAGAGCATAAGGACAGCACCAACAGTACTCTGTGGGTCTGAAGCAAACTAATAAACAGAGAACACTTTTTTTTTTTTTTTTGAGACAGGGTTTTTCTGTGGCACTTTGGAGCCGATCCTGGTCCTCACTGTGGAGACCAGGCTGGCCTTGAACTCACAGAGATCTGCCTGCCTCTGCCTCCCGAGTGCTGAGATAAAAGATGTGTGCCACCTACGCCCGGCAGAACACAAATCTTGGTTGTTACGGAAAAGGGAAGGATATGGGAGAAGATGGAGGATGGGGTTAATATGGTTAAAATAGGAGAAAAAGAGAGAGAGAGAGAGTGTGTGTGTGTGTGTGTGTGTGAGAGAGAGAGAGAGAGAGAGAGAGAGAGAGAGAGAGAGAGAGAGGAGAGACGGAGGGGGGAATATGGAAAAGGCTCCTAGAATCAGGGATCTTGAAAGGATCTTGGCAAACCTTGTATGTCCTTGGGACGTGAGTTTTTTCTGGGCTAAAGACTTGCTGAGAAATGGCAACCAGAATGCAAGGGTGTCACCAAGAGTGACTTTCTTGTACTGTGGAGTGACTCTGAGAAAAAGGTGGTTCTTTGACAGACACTAGGGTATTTCTTAGGTACAGCACCATGACATGCTGGCTATGTGGGAACTGTTGCCCTGAAACCTCATAGAGTGCCACTAGTCAATGAGTGGTCACTGCAGGGCAGGGGGTTGGAATTAGGAGGTAAGGCTTGGCAATCAGCACTGGCCTTCAGCAGTTAGTGCCCTGGGCAGTTGCATCCCTCCTCATGTCCATTGGCATCTGACAATGAGAGCTGCATCGCACATTACTGTTCCCAACATTGACACACTTTACTAGACCCAGGTGGGGCAAAAGCTCATGTCCCCATCTATATTCTAGAAGGTACTTGCTTCTCTGGTGAGAAAAGACATGCTAGAAACTGCTCTCAAATCCCAAGATTACGCCTTTTCAAACTATTTACTTGCTTATGCATTAAAATTTTTCTTGTTTTCTTTTTTTTTTAACTTTCTGAAGTTAAGTATTTCTACTCTTGAGTTGGTGCTTTTGAGTAGACATATTGGAGTTAGGTCTCGTGGATGGCATCCAGGGTCTGGGTGCTCTTGAAGCCCTGGCTTCATACCCACATACCACATACCCAGGGCCCACATACCCCATCCAGCCATCCTCACCTTGCAGCCTGCCAAATAGAAGTTCTTGATGGTGCTCGGTGTGAGTCTGCTCAACATCATGTTGACACACCTGTGGGAAGAAAGCTGCTGGTAGTGATGATCCCATATGCTGTCAGATAAAGGGGGCGGGGGCAGAGACTTGTTCAATTCTAGGGTGGCAGCAGAAACCTCTCACTGGGAAAGCAAGCCTTGTTTTAGGGACTTGAAGAAAACCAGCAGGCCTGTTATAAGAGCTCTGTGCTAAGGAAGGGAGGAGAGGTCGGGAAGGAGTCCAGACTCTTCAGTAGGTAACGAGCAGCCTCTTCAGCAGAGAGTAGCACTGTGGCCTGGAGCAAGAGAAGCTTTGCTAAGATGGCCTTTGGGTGCCCTCTTACCCAAGGCATTTTCTTCCTGACATACTGCTAGGTGACCTCAAATACTGTTCCTTTCTGTCCACAAACCGATTCCAACAGTAGCTTTCTGATGAATATCTCTGTTCTTTCTTATAACTGGGCCTGGTTTCCACTGATGAATTCCTCACCAAAATTCTATTTACTGATCATGAACCGAGTGCCTGACACTGGCCCAGGACTTTGACATACAAGGAACAAAGCTAATGGTCAATGGGAAGACACAAGCTGTTAAGTACACACTTAAACAGGTAATCATGTTGTTACAATTGACTAGGGGTTAGGACAGACATGTCCAAACTACAGCCCAACACATTTGTAGATGACATCATGTCTCAATGTCAAAAGGTTGGACACCCTTGGGCTAAAAGGCTAAAACCTTTAAGGTACCATGGGAATGCAGAAAATAGAGATTCTAATAGTGCTTAAATCCGAAAAGCAATCAGAAACTGAAAGGGTGGAATTTAGATCCTGAAACAGGATCTAAAGTAGGACAAAGTAGTGGCTGGGCAGGGATTGAGAGGCCAGTATCCCAAGAGAAGAAAAAGCATGTGGGAAGGCCTGTAGCAGGAGCATGTGCAGACTGTAAAGGAAAAGCAAGGATAACAGAGTTGACATGCAGAGAGAGACACAGGTGAAACTGAAGTGAGCATCACCCGGGCTCATTATCACCCTGTGGTTATCGTAAAATCAGTTGAGAATCACTTAAAGGCTAACCAGTGACTCTTGCATTTATTGATTCCATTTCTGTGTGTAGGTGTGTGAGGCCCAAGGCATGCATGTGGGATTCAGAGGACAACTTATAGGAGTCAGTTCCCTCCTTCCATCTTGGGGACACCTAGGGATCAAACTCAGGTTCTTGGGTTTGGTAGCATGCATCTTTATTCTTTGAGCCATCTCACTGGCCTGGCATATTCTAAACATATCTATCAATGAAGCCATAGTGACAGTGAGCAGGGGGCTCCCCTATCCCCAAGCCTATAGGGAACTGCTTTTACTGACTTCTATTTTGCTGTGGCACCTTTGCCAACATGAGAAGGAACAGAGACTCATTGTCCATTTTCTCTTTGGCTATTACTAAGGACACTGAAGATACCCACAACTGCTTTGTCTCTCCAAAGTGATTTTTAGGTAATTTTCATCTCCATTTCATGTCACTCATCAAGTTTCCCCTAGCCATAGCTGCTAGGACGTTCAGAGCTGAATGTGTGGTGGACCTATGCTATGGTAGACGAGTTCCAGTTTATCCATCTTTGCTTTTCTTACTCCCTAAAAAATAAAACTAAAAATAAATTAAGGTGTCCAGTTGTTGTTATTTCATGTACTAATTTTATAGCCTGTGCTAGAACAAGGTAAGAAATAACCAGTGAATGAATAAATAACCTGGCCATGACCAAGTTATCCTCCACCCTTGTGTTCTAATAGGGCCTCGATGCTGCCAGGAGACTTGCTCCATCATGGGCTTGGCCTTGAGCACAGGAGAACCCTGTGCTGAGTAGATTCTAGGTCTATAGTAATCTTGTTATGAACTTAAGGGTCACAGCCCCAGTCCTGAGCCAGGTGCAGCTACCCAGCCTCAATAAGCCAATTAAAAGAACCGAATTAAAAGAAGAAAGCAGAAAAAGGAGATTTATTCTTGCTAAGAAATTCTGCTAATAAATAAATTTATTATTTATTTATGTGGGCATGTTGGGAAAGAGAGACAAGACACAGTGAGCCACACCACCCCAAGCATGTCTTTGAGGTCCTGAAGTGGATTAAAGTTTAACTAGAAGACCCCACCCACCACCGACCCATCACAGCCTGGGCCCAGTCTCATCCTGTATGGTTGCTTGAAAAGTTGTCACAACTGTGTGGAATCTTTTTCTGGGACCCTGGCTGGCAACTTTTCCTTTTCTCAGGATGGGATTCCTGGGGAAATTTTCACTTCTTTGTGGTCCATTGTTTCATTAGTCTGATAGATTATGAGACACATGTCTTTTTAGAATACCTTCATTTCTGCCAGGGTCTATTAAAACTCCCTACCTTCTGTTCTAACACCTCTGGTTCATAAGATTGCAAAGCCCATCAGTTCTCATATTCATGTCTCTTGGGGCTCTTTTCTCTCCAAACCTAGCTCACTCAGATCCTCTCTCCCTCCCAGCTTCACCTCAGTACCCAGCTTCTCACAGTGCCCAAACCACACCACAGAGGGTTCCCGCTTAACCAGGCTTCATGCTTCAGGTCCCCTGCTCTACTGACTAAACCAAATGGAGGAAGCTGACCTCTGAGGTCCTATATGACCTGGGCTCATCCTAAACTCCTTTCCCTTCCTGTGTTGTTCCAGACACTCCGAGCCATCCTGTGATGACAGCACTGATCTCAGCTGTGATCCCAGCCTAGGTACCAGTGCAGGCATCAGTGACAGAATCTATGCAACATCACCAGGTGACAAACGTGTGCACAGATCCCATCTGTGAAAGACCTCCAGGATGTGTGATTCAGACCCAGGCAGATGTCAGGGTGGTTTCTCACGAAGCAGCATCAGCTGATTTAACCTGCAGGGTCTCATCTGGTGCCCGAAGTCATAGTGCTGTAAGAGTGACCCAGGGCATTGCTGTGAGCATGTATGCATGCGTGCGCCAATACTCATGTGCACCACACTCATGACTAGCACACTCCAATCAATTGTACCATCAGCTTCTCAAACCACAGGCTCAGCTGTGTGGCAGGCCTGCCCTGGCCTCTGACCATTGGGCTCATCTGAAGAATCTGGGGCAGGCTCCATATGCCCAGGCTCATGAGCAGGTCAGGAGACTTGGCTCGTTATGACCAAAGTTCTACTCATTCTGGCACTCAGAATAAAGCGGGGAAGGAAGCAGGAGAATAGAGGACCTGCTTTTCTTGACTCATCCGTGGATGAGCCACGGATGAGCAAGGAACATGATGCTAACAGTTATACAGGGCTTCCAGTATCAGAGGTAGGGTGGTGGTGGGAAGAGACTGAAGGCGGCTAGAGGCCCACTTCAGGAGGAAGGCCACCCTCCCAGTATGTGGGCCCAGGAAACAGCTGCTCAGAAATGACCTAAGTGAGCAAGCTGCACTTTGGCAGGTATTACAGTAACTGGCTAGGCCAGCAGTTCTCAGCCTGTGGGGGGAGACCCCTGGGGGGTTGGCAGGTATTACAGTAACTGGCTAGGCCAGCAGTTCTCAGCCTGTGGGTCGAGACCCCTGGGTGTCACATATCAGATATCCTCGATATTTACATTATGATTCATAACAGTGGCAAAATAACAGTTATGAAGTAGCAATGAGGTACTATTATGGCCAGGGGTCAGCACAACATAAGGCATCATTGTATTAAAGAGTCCCGGCATTAGGACGGTTGAGAACCACTGGACTGAGTTGAGTTGGAGTGGGTATCAGCTACAAGGTAAGGAGGATGGGAAGTCTCAGGCAGGCAACATCTGACTTTCCCATCCATCGTCACCTGCATAGTCAAGGCCAGCTTCCTTAGACAACCGCAAGACACCACACAAAATGATTCCGACTTCAGCCGCTCACCTCCCATCAGCAACAGCCACACAGACCTGCAAGTCTGGCTATACGGATATACTGGAAGACCCCAGACCCTCTCAGTGTGTCCCCCTGCAGATTAGTCCAGACCTCTGCACACCTGAAGAGTCCTTGGATTGTGGACTCAGTAAGCCTAGGAGGAGCTCCAGGTGGAGTACCTGACCTGAGGCTTCCTCGGGTACCCCAGGAATGGGCTGACGACTCAGCAACACATGTACCATTGAAACCGAGGCTTGTCAAGGTGCTGGGGTACATCCTTGTAATCTGAGCACTCGGGAGATTGAGGCTAGGGGATCGCTAGTTCAAGGCCGGCCTAGGCTGTACAATATGGCTTTGTCAGCCACAACCCAAACTAAAAACTCACGGAGGCCTGGGGCAGTTAAATGATCTGGCAGACCACCTAAGTCTTTGTGACAAATTGCATCACAATTGTATAGGAAATCAGACAGCCCCACAATTCCACTCCATGTCTGTCTTCAGGACCAAAGGGATTCAGTAGGTATATATCCCTGCAACTTGGAGAAGGAACAGGACCGTCTAGAAAGACAAATCCCACAAAAGGATTTCCTTGTGGCACGCATACCCTTTCAGCAGCCTCAGCACACAGAGAAACGAGGGGGATTTCAGAGAAGTGTCTTTGCTTATCACAGGCCCACATTGTACTTGAAGTTAATCCTATCCAGCCAGAATGTAACACTTGGGAGTTGTTGACTTCACTCCACCCTGCATGACTCATTTCCTGTGTTGTGGGGACTTTTGAGCCATAGGCTTTCAAGTGTAGCCACTTGACCATTGGTCCCTTTCTGTTTCCCTGGCATCCCAGAGAAGCCCAAGAAACGGCTCTGGGAGGAGCAGAGGAGTGAATGAGGGCTGAATAAGCAACCCTCTTCACCCCCAGCCAGGGCCCTAGAAGGGGTTAGGAC